TCTCACATAATTCTTTCTGAATACTTGCGTGTAAAATTTCTTCTTTCTTAAAATATAAATTGGAGCTCTTTTTGATAATTTGTTAATTGATATCAGAGTGAGATTTCCCAAACAGCTATCTTGTCACAGCTCTCCTTTCTGACCAAATTTGTCTACATTCCTGAGTATTAATAATTTTAGGAAATTTCTTTTTGATGCTACAGCAATTCTTGAACTTAACATACATGTTATCATTTTGGGGGTCTGTTTCACTACCGTATATGTATTTCACTTGGTTTTTGTTTTTTGTGTCTTTGCACATGACACTTTTTATTTATTTTGTAACAAAGCACAATACATTTTTTGTATACAAACAATTCTGACATTCTTCTACAAATGTAATTGTATCAACTAAATCTAATTTGTCTACATGTATGTCCACATATGTTCCATCTGATGAGGGCGAAAAAGGGTGCTTTCTTAATTTACATTTTAATAGATAACAGGGTTGCTTTACCTCTTCTTTTTTTTTTTTATCTACTGGTATGTACTCCTCATTAAAAATTAACAATCAGTCAAAACAGTCTACTTTTATGACACAATATCATTGACAAGCAAATAAGAACAAATTAAAATTTTTAACAATATTTGAAGAAGAAAGAAGAAAAAAGAAAAATCACTAAAAGAAATAAAATCATACTAAGTAAATTTTCGAAAATATTATGAGACTTACAGTTTGTACCCAGCCCCCTCCCCCTCTCTCCATGAATAACAAATTGATAGAGCTTATGGATATCACACATGGAATGAAACAAATAATAGATTGAAAAGTGACACAGAAGCAGAACAAAAATGGTAAATGAAAGTTATTGAATCAAATCAATGTAGGCCTACATGTACTGTACATTCTTCAAACTACATGTACATGTAGGATTGCGCACTATTCGAAATACTCAATACCAAAAGTATACAGCAAAGTATTTTCATAATGAGATAAAAGTTGATATGTAAACTTATGCCCAGTGTACCAAATATTTACGTTGAAGTATGACCTATGATGCACTGGATAAGTGTGTATCTTTTAGAAGGAAAAAAAAACACAAAACAGCCCTAATATCACTAGAAGGAGTCAGAATAAAATTACATCCATGAAAATTGACGGACATCAACAAACAGCAGCTACATGTACATGTACATGCAAATATATTTTGAACCATTTTTTATAATCAAATCATCTTAAACCTGTGATAATGAACTTCGTTTTGAACAGCTATACCGTACTGTATGCACATGGAGTCATAAATCCTCATAAATATAATTGAACATGTACATGTGTATGTTTATATACCTTAAAGGTTTAAACGAAAATGAAAAGATCTGTAAATGAAGTGCCAAGAATAAATCAACTTCATGTACATGCACATCACCAGTCTTGCAATATAGTTTGACATCTACCTCTGATTTCCTTTTAAAATGTAATAATCCCGTGGATATTAATCATGATATTCTCCCAAGCTTTAACTCCTCTCTTATTAATTATACAGGCATCTGTATTCTTTCATTTTGGCAGAAAAATAAATCATGATTAAATTACCTAGATAATCATAAATAGCTATAAAATTGAAGATGACATTCAATGAAAATGAAGCCAGACACAGATTTCATAAGGAAGCCGTAAAGTAAATAAGCAAAGGTAGTAGCATTATAGAAAATGAGCAATACAACCTTTAGTTGGTGTGTGAGAGGGGGTGGATGATAATCTAGAAAACAAATACTGATGGAAGCCTGGGTTTCATGTAGCCCACAATATGCATTATGTGCAAGAGAGTAAGAAAAGGAGAGTATGTGTGGGTGACAGTGGGTGTGTGTGAGTGTGTGTATGGTGTGGCTTAGTTTGCACAGTGTTCTATTGCTAACTGCGTTGGCTGCGCTGCTGCCACTGCTGCAGCCAACGCTAGTCAAATCTCCCGAGCATCTCCTCTTACTGGGCAGCTACAAATATCTCCCTTCCATAAATATCAGGTCTATTTATAGCCCTCGCTACTACCAAGTCTTTTTATAGCTGCCGTGTGCGATCACTTGGTCTGTCATCAACCTAGACCACATGAGGCGGTGCTTCATTGTGGTAGAGCAGCGATGAAAGAGAAAGAGAGAGGGGAAGAGGAGAGAAGTGGGTCTTTGTAATTCTTGTCACTAATAGCCAGCATTGGCAGCTTTGGCATCGTCTGGTATCTGGCTTTGCGATGACAGTTTAATAAACCACATGTAAAGTCTATTGAGGCTACCTGTGAGAGCCAGCCAGCCAGCCAGCCAGAGTTGAGCTGAGCAGAGCTGCCCAGGGTACGTTTGTTGTGTGTATTAATGCAGAGATAAAATGCAGCCATAATTAGTATGCTTGTCAAATGAGCCACAATAGGCCAATATCGAGTCAAATTAAGCGCGCACACCAAACTACAAGTCGTATTTAAATTCTGCAGCCTCCTTTGCGATATAATGCAGTGAATCGATCTATGTCACATACATGTAGGAGTGATATTTCCTGGTATATTTTGAGGAGTGAAGATGCATCTTTTCCGGTATTTAACAGTACTCAAACTCATCTAAAAGTACACTTGACATGCAGATCAGAATTAAAGCTTCTAATTTTTGTCAGCTTTTAATAAAATCAAGTAAACACTTACAAAGATTACATTTATGTTAACAGTAATGTTTGGATCATGTTTGCTTCCATGTACCTACATGTACAGTGTACAGTACAGTGTAAGTAATGAGAAGAAACAAAACTGAACCTAAAAATATGGAATATGTCAACTGGAGACATATACGTGTATGTCATGTACATGTACCGGTATGTAATATCAGTCCTGTCATTCAAATTTCCATTTCAATTGGTTACTCAGCAACCTGGACAATTACTTGGTTTGCAAAATACCACCCCAACTTTTCATTAAAAATGGACCCTACAAATGAACTTACATGTACATGTACACTGTACACTGTGGTTCAATTTCGTTCGTTGCCCCAAAGATTGCCTAACAGGAACTTAGCAGGTTAATGGCATTAGCAAATTATAACTTTAAATTGTTATCTTTTCAAAATATCAAATGATAGCTATTATAAATATAACCATGGAACTTGCAGACAGCCTCTTCATAAGGAACATCATTAAATCAGTTTCAGAATGTTGGACTCTATACATATTTTGCACTGTTTTTTCAAACAAATCATGTTGCAGTGTACTTTTGTCTTCCCATCTATAATTCCATTATTTCTGGTCTGTTGCCCCCCCCCTTTCTCTCTCTAACTTACATTGATACTAGGTTGATACAATTGTATAATTCAGTACGAATTTTGTTTTACTAATAAATATTGAAACAGTAATCAACTCTCTGCTGCTCTCGTGCAATTGGCATTGTCAGACCCATCAAGGATAAATGTAGTATGCTTTTATCAACTCTCACACCAAAGTAGATATTGAGCATTCAGAATCCATTTGAAATCATCTCTTTATGCACAAGTACATTTACGATATACATGTACATGTATTTCATGTTTCTTCTGGGAGGTTTTCTAAGCAAAAATCAAATTCCTGCTTTTATTGGCATCTTCATAGTGTGGCACAGTCCACAAGACTCAAAAGGGTGGTCATCTTTATCTTGTACTAGTACAACAGAAAAAAACTGAGCAATTGACATCCTTTTTCTCTGCACATGTACATGTGTATGTTCAATTTCTCCTTTGTCACGCCTATATTTCTCCATTGAAAAATAAAGAATCATTCAGCTCTCTGCTTTTCTCATGCATTTAAAATGTCCACACCTTCCAAGAACAAGAGCAGTGTTCTTCTCTTTAAAGAGGAGGTTGAGTTCTGGGAAGAGGTGAAAAATATATTTTTTTTACCGGTATGCAAGTGTGAAAGAACATCAGGTAGCAAATGGTCCCTGAAAAGCATGGCTCTTCAAGGCTCTTCAAAACCTCAACATTCTAAATATGGCATGTAACGTCATAAAAATCGGGACGGATTTTTACGCCACATGTTCGAGTAGTCCCATATACATCTTTCTGTGTACAGTGCTTTTAACTTAACCAAGACTGGGCAAAATTTCTTATTATTTAGTTGATTTTAGAACCTTGCAGCACACACCAATACTTATATGCTAGATGATCGTTTCCACAACGTTTCTTTCACAACGCAATCGCATGACCAGAACTCAACTTGGAAGGAAATTGAGAATGTAAAAAAAAAAAACACCTTTTATGCTCAAATTTCACATCCTTGTCTGAAAAGCTCATATCAACTCTCCACTTTTCACACCCACTTAACATCTCCACATCCAAACAAAACAAGAGCAGTTCTCTTTCTCATCATCTATTACAATGAAATGAACTTCAAATTTACTTTTCAAGGAGATTGTTGTTATTTTTAGGTCAACACCAAGTTACCAACCTTCCTTTTTTGCAAAATCTAATTGAATGTATAAAGGCTATCCAGGCGGGCATAGAAGTATAAGGTAGGACAGAGTTGAACAGAATGAATTTTAAAAAAAATCATATATTCTATCATGACATATGCCCAAATAAGACAATATTTGGGCATCTTCTTGCCCAGATTTATCCTGTTTCTAAATGTTACGAGTGGGGTGACATTTTTTTGTTGTTTGAAATACAAGATACAGTCAGGCACCTTGATGTTATAATGTTGCCAGCAAGCGAGGAAAAAAAAGACATTTTATCATCTTTAAAATGCTATTTCATCACAAAATCACATATTCTAGCAGTTTCTGAAATTTGTTTTTTCATGAAATCAACGTTAGTCCGAAATAGTTTTTGATGTAACTAAATTTCTATTGCGAGACCCCTAGAGATGTCTTGCGGCACCCCAGTTGAAAAATGCTGCCCTCATGCACACATGTAAGTTTCGTTTTCTTGATGTGTATAGCTTGTGTTATATAACCTGTAATCAAATATCAAATCAAATATTTTGTACAGTTATTTTTGGACTGGATATTGTTCAAGCATACCTTTATTCTGTCTGCTGCTATTGTTGCACATGGCGAAATACCGGCTTCTGTACATCGATCATGGCTCACAAAGTTGCAAACTGCAGAAATGACAGAAAAGAAAACATCAAAGATGTAAGTCAATAATGAAAATTTAGTATTTTGCTTTTAGTTTTGAAATAAATACTGTATCATGATGCCAAATACATTGAGACCAAACACACACACAAAAATTAATCATAGAATATAACGTTCAAAAAAATTATCTGTTGAAAGCCAAAATAGGATTAACTCTGTAAAAAAAAAAAAAAAAAAAAAACATTTAATTCATAATGTGTACATTAAAATTAAGACACCTTATTATTGATATTCATGAAAGTGCCTCTTTCATAGAAGCGTAACAGAGCATTTTATATAAATTCAGAATGTACACTTTCAGTTTACAAGCTTAATCCCAAGTTGTTATCTCATGCATACACACTCATGACATTTAATGGCTAGATTCACCAACAAAATACATATGTATGCAACAAGATAGTATCTGGCATTGTATATACAATGTACATGTACATGTATATGTACATGTAGTTTAAAAAAACAAAACAACAACAACATCATGGAGTCATTCCAATAAGATACATGTACGTAATCTCCTCTTTCTTTTCCCCTTTCTTCTAATTTCAGTGGTGACCTTTTCCAAAGTAATTTTCATTCTCGACCATGCTCCGTTCTCCGATGGCACGGCTACATTCTAATAAACTATGCATAATGCTCAACCAGTACTGTCTTTGTGATTCCTGCGGATCAGACCTAATCATACATGCCCATCCATGGTTGCAGTCAAAAGGTCAGGGGTCAATCGAGGGAAAATTAATGAAATTAGGTTCTCGTTTAATGTGGATATTATTTTGGAAAATGTACTTTTCAAATGCATTGACAAATGACAAGATCAGTGATGTAAAAATACTAAATTGGAAATTCTCATCAGAGATCGTGCTAAACAATTCATGTAAAAGCCATGCATTTTCATTGTATATTATTAACCAGTTGAATATTAAGCCAGAGAGAACTTGATGAAGTCTTTGAAGAATATGTGTTATCTGCAATACCGAATACTAATCTGCATTTTGGCCAGGTAGTCAATTTATTTTGTGTCAAATCTACTAGTTGTGTCAAGATTACGTGTACATGTATTATGGAAAAGGAGTACCGGTATTATACACCTCACATGTACAGTACATGTAACTAAATTCACATCATTTTTGTTTGGCTTTTGAGGGCAAGTCTACATGTAGTTACCGGTAAACTATTAGGTCAAAAAACAAAAATAATATGTTTCTCGTACAGATTTTTTTTTAAAAAGGAGGAGGCAGGGTACTATTTTGCTATTTTATGCTATTTTTCCAAGATGGCTGCCATGCTAATTATAGCTGGCCAAGCCTATTTATTCACAGATATTGTGCTATGTGAGTATGCTGATGCAATGTATGATAAAAATAATGATTTGTATCACTTTAGAACATTATAGTAAACAAAATGTATATCACAGCTATTTTGCATTAATTTTTGTTACGGGGGGCTGGGGCTTTTTTTCTTCTGAATAGTGAATATTTTTTTTAAAGGAGGCGGGCAGGGACAAGAAACATTTCATTTTTGTTATTTGGCCTAATTTGATGTTTAGAAGTGCTCTACTATCACTGAACCTCACCAAAAAAAATCTCTACACATGTGCATTTACAGTACATCATACAGTGTACATGTACAATAACAAACATGTACATGTGTGTGTATGGGCAATATGTTCCACAATCCACATACCAGTATTAATAATACTCAAATATTATTAATTAAAATGAAAAAATATTAGAAATACGAAATTATTAAAAATAGAATAAAAATATCAATAAAAATAATGATAATATCAATAATAAATGAGAATAGTTGATTCTTATTCAGTTCCTTCATAGCACAAAAACAGAATGAATTGATTTATGATTAGGAAAAATAATAAAGCAACATACAATGTACAGTGAACATACTGTACATGTAAGGAAATAAGCAAATGCTAGCAATAGCAAATTTAATTACATTAATACTGATGCTGGCTGGGAGGAATTATCATCAACATTGTATGGTAGTCTAATAAGCATGGTGATGGACATATGAATCAAAACAACACATGGAGTTGCTGCTGTATGTAAAGAGCAAACAAATTTAGTCAATGATCTGTATGATTAAAAACAGAATCAGAAACTAAGTTAAAGGTACTATGTCCCATTTGCAGGCCAACAAAAATGAAAAAGTTAAATTCCAACTGCATTTGAAAGATAATACTAATTTAGAACTTCCCTAAAAAAGGTGGGGCTTGAAAATGTCTTCAAGTGGGAAAATAACGACTATAAGTTGTCAAATCGACTTTAGGGCTATAGAGCTCAAAAGTAATAGTCTTGATTTTCAGACAATTGTACCAAATGGTCATACGTTTTATGCTGTGCAAAGATTCAATCAGTTTAATCTTGGCCACCACAAGAAGTGGGTTATTGATGTAGACAAAATATGCTCATGTACCCTTTACAACTCTTTTCATGTATGTTATTACCAAAGAAGAAAAAAAGCCAGTCTGTCACTCAATAGTGTCTGACAGTGAAGTCTAGCAAGTAAACGGGTTTCCTTGCATAATTTGAATATGAGGACACTGCTAACATTTAAATTTCACAGATAGGACATACATAACATATTCATAATTCCTGCAAAATTCTACATGATTTGAGGTTGGCTGCAAAAGGGACATAGTACCTTTAAGACTCAACAAGGATTTAGGAGGGATCATAATTCATAAACAAGAAAGGAAGACATACAATATCTCAGGACATACGTACAATTGTACACATACACATGATTTAGGATCTATTAACAAAAACACTTATGATATTCTTACGTAAAAGTAGGGCCTTGTAGGCCAATTTGCGAATGTTATTCATCATCTACTGCTTGGTTGTAAAAATCATTAAAGAGCTACATGTACATTTACAGTACGTGTACACGTAAATACATGTATACCGGGGTACATGTGAGACTTTGTGTGTAAAACTTTCCTTTCAAATTATATAAATTTTACAAACCTGGTTGAAAATCAAAAAAATGATAGGTGACAACCACCACTACATGTACATGTACATGTACATGTAAGTACTATCGCATTCATTCAAAAGTCAATTCATTTACAACAATTTATTCCATTTCCGTAAGTTTGTACCTATCATCTATATGAAGTTCTAGATAATGAAACCTACATCATTTCGATGAACCTAAAATTTAAAAGTTCATTACAATAATCAAAAGCAGGGCAGAACCCTGTTGTTACTCTAGGTGTCGTCTCAATTTGATGACTCGGCAATTTTGTTAACGTGGTTATGTCATTAATATCTAGGTCCCTGTAAAATTTGTTTTGCAAATTCAAAATGTATGGTTTAAAGAAAACCAATAACATTGAAATAGAATTTGTTATGACAAATCAGAATTATTTTGTTCAGTACCCGCTACCCAGGGGAAGTCTTATCAGCATCAATGCTGTTCTTCCCGAGGGCTCTGCAATTATTATTACCCGGTACTCCAGAAACTCTCCTTACTTGCCATGTACAAATGTACCCATTTATATTTCCATGCACACCTGGATGGGGAGTAGCAAATATGGATTAATGTCTTGCTAGGATTTGAACCCTCAACTTTTGGATTGAGAGTCAAGTGAATGAACCTCTATTACGAGAAACCTTGAAATACATTGAGGTATCACTAAATGTAGTTAACTGCAATGTACATGTACATACGTACAACCAGGGGGGGGGGGGTACTCATATATTAAGACATACGGGGGTGTGCCGCTCTAATGGATGGGTAGGGGTTTCAAGGCTTGAGCGGCATCCCCCCCCCCCATTTGCATGCTCCAAAGCCATGTTATAAAAACATATATTAGATAGCTTAGACAGATACCGAGATGTGATTGGTCCAGAGCTCGTCACGTGATATCAATTGCGAGGATCCAAATTGTTATATTTTCCTGGCCGGTCACTTTTCAGTGTTATATTATACCGGCTGGTGAAATGAATATATTTTTAATCAATGCATGTTGCCCTCTTGAGGACTGTATGTCACCAACTACATACATTACACCATTATCGAGGGCCATTTTATTTTTTCAATATTTTTTTTTCATGAATTTTTTTTTCCCTAGAAATTTTTTTTTCCCCAAAAAATGCTTTTTTGGGTAAATTTTTTTTTTAAATAATTTTTTTTGTTTCCCGAAAAATGTTTTTTGGGGTAAGAATTTTTTTTTTTTTTTTTTTCCCCAAATTTTTTTAAATTTTCCCTCAGCGCTTCGGGAAAATATAACCACTTGGGAAATATAACTCCCTTCAGCGGTCCAAATAATGTTATATTACACCCCCTGCCAGTCAATAACTGTATAATATCGTTCTCTTCTATTTCACACAAATACCATTATAAAGCTAATGATCAAAGAACCCCACCAGGTAGATTATTGTAGACTCAATAGCATACATTTTCTGTTTGATATGTTGCTAATACACCATGAAAATGTATCGCAATAAAGCCCTTGGCTCTTGATAAATTTCCAATTTGTATGCTGATCCTTGGGATCTTGCATTTCAAGGAATCGCATCTCATTGGCTGGCTACACTTTCCTGTTTACCAAATTTGGTGGTGTTTATTTTACCTGGCATACCGGTACTATAAAGAAGATTGCAAACTTATAGCTTCGCTTCTTACGTACATGCTAATCCTAAAGCCTGTTGTTCAGACTACGTTGTACGGCTACAAGAAAACTCTATTACCATACATGTATAGTAATATGATAACTAATAAATTCTTTTCTAGTCTGATTGATATACTGTATAAGCTGTTATTTTTGTGAGGGTTTATTTTCGGGGATTGCATATTTTAGCAAATTTATCAACATGCGGAAAATATTGGCACTATAACATACAGAGCGTGAAAATATCAGCATAAATTTATGTGCTTGCGTCCTCACGATTGCTAGCTGCTGTACTACATTTATACAAGTACAAGTAACTACATGTACCTT